GAGCCGAGGAGGGAAGCACAGAGCCCTTTCTGACGTGTGTCCTCAGCTCAGCTCCGCCTGTTTCTTACCAATCACTGAGATTCCTTTTTCAAACTCTGAGGTTAATGAATTTGTAAAAACATAAAATAAAATAAAACAAGAAGATTAAACTCAAGGAGCCTTGTTCCATATCTGGAATCTCCCCAGCAGGCCATCAGAAGTGATTCCTATGAACCAGACTTTCTTAAAATTTTCTGAGCACCCAAAGCACCTGAGACGTTGGGGCAAATCAGATTCTGACCCCACCTGTCCGGGGCAGTGTGGACATTTTGCCTTCTAGCAAGCCCCGCCTTGTTGCCCAGGTTACAGGACAATGAATCACATTTTGAACAGCAAGAATTGGGACCACCAAAGTGTTTATTCAACTGAATATAAAAAGTGAAAAAAAGAATTAGCTATTCCCCTGTCACCTCTCCCCCCAAATTCATTTGTTCATTAAGTGAATATGTATTAATACCCACCCCCAGGATTCCCCCAACCTGCAGAAAAGCAGAGAATTGTGTGTCAAAAATCTTCCCTCCTCATGGCCCCTCTCCCAGGCATGCTCCCCGACCACCTGCTTCTGTGCTAAGGGTCAGGATCATGCCATCCCTTGGGTTGGTGTGACCCACACAGAGAATCCTGTCCCCACCGGCAAAAGAGTCATGATTACAGAGGGAGGTGGGGTTTTTATCTCCCCTTCGTCCTCCGCGGCCACAGTTCCCCCCTCCACCACCTCATCCTCTCCAGAGACACCCCAAGGATTGAAAATGCCCAATTTGAGACTGGGTAGCTCCCAAAGAGCTGCTACCCCTCAGGGGTCTCAGAGTTATCTATTCTGAGTGGAACCAGAAAGGGTAGAGTCTCAGGGGGGAGAGGCAGGGCCCTGCTCAGGGGAGGGAGGATACTCCGGAGGAATGGGGACCCCAGCAAACCAACATCAGCGTGATAGAAAAACTGACCAAGACATTATTGAGTCCTGCTTCCCAAGTACCCGCCGCCTTTCTGACCACACAGGACCCTTAAGTGAAAGGCGTTTCAGAAGCATGCCTTGGCTTCTGAGTTTGGCTGAAATCTTAGGCTGCTCTTCCTGCCCTGTTAGCATCTGTGTTCCCTGAAGAGATGATACAGAAATGTTGGAGATTTACTGGAAATCACATTAAAGGAGATTGCACTAGAAATCCCAGTGGCTGTGGAGATTATGATGAAAGAGCTTATCCTGGAAAAGCCGGTGGGGGGCGGGGGCTCCTAGGGCAGCACTGGGGGATGGTGGATTTCCTGGAGACTGTGAAGGTCAGACGCAGAGAGAGAGGAAAGGGCAGCCGCATGAAACTGTGTGACAGTGGCCTAGGACCTGAGGAGACCCGACGGTGGGTGCTCTGTGGTGCACCCAGGATCAGCAGCCCTAGCAGCTGTGGCTGGGAGAGCCAAGACAGGTGTGCGTGCAGCCCTGCTGCATCAGAGGCTGCCCTTGGGAGGCCTGTGGAAGGATCCCTGAGAAGGGAGTGTTGGGGTGCCCCTTGGGCCCACTTCCCAGCTGTCCCATGTGTCCCCCATCTCCAAGGGTCCTAGTCTGCTCAGACCTCTGAAACAAAACACCACATCCTGTGTGGCTTAAACAATAGAAGTTCATGTTCTCACTGTTCTGGAGGCAGAAGTCTAAGGGTTAGGTGTTGGCAGCAGGTCTCTTCTGAGGCTTGCTGAGGCCTGTCTCTGTGCGCTCCCGTCTTCCCTCTGTACCCTAATCTCCTCTCCTTATAAGGAGGCCAGACATGTTGGATTAGGCCCATCCACTGACCTCATTTTAACTTGATTACCTCTGTAAAGGTCCTGTCTCCAAACACAGTCACATTCTGAGCCACTTGGGATTGAGAATTCAACATACAGATTTTGAGGGGGACATATCCAACCCATAGCATCCACTACATTCCACTCTATTCCAGAAAGGGCTGGAATGGTGCCCTTTCTCCCCCCAGGACTCTGGGTGCTTGTTAAGCCCCGAGGACACCCCTGCTGCCGTGCAGATTAGGATCGTTGTAGATGGAGTCCTGCGTGTCAACATCTGTGACGACTAATAGGCAGCACCTCACCCCGCCCCCTCGGTCACTGTTTCTTGAGATCAAGCTGGTGAATGAGCAAATAATTCAGCCCCATCAAATACACTCGTGAACACTGGGGTGTGAGAACCCTGACCATTCTGCCCTGTCACGCCCGTTTCCGCACCAACCTCAGAACCCCGTCCCCCTGAGTGCCTTCTCCTTTATATCTTCCCTTCTTCTGTTCCTCATCTCCCTACACTGACTGCCTTCCTGCCTAATGTGTCATTCATTTGACAGTAAAGTAATATTCATTCCTTGCAGCCTAGGATTCACATCTTGTCTCCTAACAAAATTGCCAACTCCTTGATATCCACAAACTAAGTCTGTGTGTTATAAACCTTGCAGTCAGCAGCACACAAGAACAATGAAGTTCAACATGTAAACCCGCCACGATTTCATGGATGCTGGTAGAAGCACAAAACCCCTGAGTCAAAAGATAAAGAACCATTATTACTCACAGTAACGGCAGTAGCCATTGCTACCGGCATGCAGCCCTTCTGCACTGGTCCCACGAGCCCAATTCCCACAGCCATGCAAAGAGGCATTGCAAGTGCCAGCTGCACATGTGATCAGCTGGGTTCCAGGAGAAGACCCCTGAGTTTAAGGAACCTGATTCTTTTATAACAGGCAATAAGCTTGCCTGTCCTTTGCTCCAGAAGCAGACACTACTTTCCAGGGCTACTCCTGAGGAGGCACAAATATCTTTGGAAAGACAGACTGGAGCACAGGGGGTCAGTGCCACTGCTCCCAAGACATGCAGAAACACCACAGACTCACAGACAGGCAACAATAAACGTCTCTTTATGAATCTGCTTTTCTTGAAGGCTACCTATGTGAGTCTCTACTATGGTTTGGGCCTTAAGTATCTCCCGAAGGTCCACATGGTAAAGGCCTGCTCCCCAGAGTGGTGCTATTAGAAGGTGCTGGAACCTTTGAGATGGGGTCTGATGAGAGATCCTCAGGTCATTGGGGGTATGCTCTTAAAAGAGTGCAACCCCAGCCCCCTCCTTTCCATGTTTTTGTTTGTTGTTTGGTGGAGGAGACTTGTTGTTTTTATTTTTCGCTCCCTGATCGTGAGGTGAGTGGATTTGCTCCACCACCTGCTCCTGCCTCGATGAGCTGTCTTGCCACAGGCCGACAACCAATGGGGACAGTGTATCATGGCCTAAACTTCTAAAGCCATGAACTAAAATAATCTTTTCTTTTGGTGAATTGATTATCTCTGGGATTTGTTATGGTGATGGGAAGCTGACCAATACTGTCTCTTGGCACAATATGCACCTCAACCCAGCTTGGCTTCTGGACTCCACTACGTTTGCATTTACTTATTTGGCAAAGAATGGGGGCTTCCCTTGCTCCATAGCTGGCATAAAGTAAATGCGGAGGTTCAGGCTCTAATTTCTTTCCTTGGGTTGGGGTTGCCAGTGATCCTGGGCTCAGGTTTTCCTGAGGGATGGTTTGTGGATTTCAGACCTTGGGAGAGGAGTAAACCAGTTAAGCTCTGTGAGTCCTGATTGCCTAAGCGTTCTAGCCTCTTAGGGCACTGGTGTGGCCTGTGGAGGAAATGACAATCTGCCCACACTCAGAGTTCAGCTTCATGTGTCCTGTTCAGGTTTCCAGGCTGTTGGATGTGGTTTGTAATCAGTAAGAGATGGAGATAAAAATCGGAGTATGTTTTCTGCTTAAGTCGTTCAGTGGCTCAACACCCACTCTAGGACAGCGCCCGAGTCCTGATCTCAGCCTCTTCCCTGGCACTCCTGCTCAGCTTCAAGGGTCGCTCCTAAAACCCACCATCAGGGTTCACGGCTCCCTTCAACTCTAATGTCCTCTCACTAAGCCCCACCCATTGCCTTACACTTGCCGTCCATCTTCAGTTGGCTCCTGGCTGGAAGGATTCTGGAACACTCCACGCCCCTCAATCCCTATGGAAAACCAACCCTTCCCTCCTACCCTAGGTCAGTAAAATGGAAAATGTTCTTGTCAAAAGCCTGATAGTGAATATTTTAGGTTTTGGGGCCTTCGGTGTCAATTCGGCCACCGTAACCCAAAACAGCCAGAGACGAGGTGTAAGCAAGCGGGCTGGCTGTGTCTCAGCCTTTATTTATGAAATAGGTGGCCGGCTGCATTACCCCTCAGGCTATGACTGGCTGACCCCCATCCAATGCTTGAACACACTCTAGTCTCACAGGCTTATTTAACAAATCTCTTTCTGAGGAATAGCAGGAGAAGGGCCCTGGGGAGAGTAAGACCACCCTCCTCACAGGCCCCACTCCTGGCTTTCATGCATGAGAGCCACATCCCCCCACTTCAGCATTTCTGCACATCAGCAGAACAGCTCCTCCCCATGGGGCAGCAAAGGATCAGGACCTGCCTCGCGGAGACTGGAGCACCGTACCTTCAGAAATGATCACATCTTTGCAGTTATTTTCATATATGTGTAAAGAAAATGAGAAACTTCAAAACAACTTAATTCTATCATTTACAAAGAAAGTGAAGAACAGCAGGGGAGTGTGTGTGTGTGTGCGCGTGTGTAGCGAGGGAGAGAGGGAGAGAGGACCAAGACTACCGCAAAGAGAGCAAGAAAAAGGAAGTGGGGAGTGAACAGGAGGGGCGTCCTGCCCGTGCTCCCAGAGTTCTGTGAAGTCTACAGGCCAAAGTTCTGAGGCTCACAGCCAATCCCAGAGGGTGAGAAGGTTCTGTGCCCATGACAGTCACCTCACCTTACACTGAATGGAAGCAGATGGCAAGGGGCCATTCAGCTCTGGGATCACGGAGCAGAGCCTAACTAAACGCAGCCTGGCTGGGCCTCGCCTCCGTGGGCTGAAAGCTCTCATAACGCACGCAAAGTGTAAACACCGAGGAAGACCCATCTTTCTGTGCCAGTTCCTTTTCTGGTTGTTTTTTATTTCAATCAGCTTCCTCCAATGTGACGAGACCTCTTCGTGGGACCAGGACACTGGAAGAGCGTGGTGGAGGAAAGGCGGGGAGAGAGGGCTGCAGAAGGGCAGCACAGCGGCTGCAGCAGAGGCAAGAGGGACGCCTGTGGCCCAGGGACAGTCACCATCTCCCTGTGGGCCCAGGGTGCTCCGGACAGGGACATGCAGAGCCCCAGGCCAGGCTGCTCAAAAGATGACCACAGTTGGGGTCTTCTCCTTGGAGACGGAGGGAACCTCCCCCAGGAGCTTCTTATCTGACCCTTCCTCCTCCTGGGGAAAAGACAAACGGAAAAAATCAACCAAAGGGAGGAAAAAACACTGAGGGCAAAGTCAGCTCCCCAGAAGTTGACCCCAGGAAAGAGGGAACAGAAAGGCTGACAGGAAGTGGCAAACAGGGCCTGGTGGCAGAGGAAGGGGAGATGGGCAGTGCCCAGGACGGAGTGGAGGAGAGAGTGGGGAGCTGGAGTAGAGGAAGGGGCAGACAGGCACCGGGAGGCAGGGGTTAGCCCCCCGACGCACAACGGGTCCCATTCCCAGACAGAGCAGTGGGCAGCCCGGCCTCTGAGGTGGGGCCTGCCTTGGACAAGGGAGTTCAGGCCCCGATGCTCCTCCCTCTCCCGCTGTTTTACTGCTCAGACCCACACCACTCAGCAGCACCTCCCGGACACCTCACCAGGGGCTGGGAGCTCTGGACACACACACTCCGGAGACACAGTCCCAGGGAAGCCAAAGCCAAGATGATCTTCAGGATACAGACAGCTGCAAGCAGGGAACAGAACGCTAAGAACATTTTCTGGAGATAAAGGAAGAAAGAGATACGGTCAGGAGCCAGCCCCTCGGATCCCGTCCAGACCACCACCTCATCAAAGCACAGGACCCTGCGCGAGCCACTTCCCACCAAGGTAGACTGCGTTTCCCGGCAGCAGGGACCACCATCCCTCCATCCCCCTGGCTTCTGCAGTGGTTCCTCGCCACCCTCTGGAGAAGTGGGGTCTCTTTCTCCACTCCCTTGAATCTGGAAGGGTCTGCCTTGGCCGTAAAACCCAGTGGGAATGGCCCACACAGTGACAAGCAGCCTCCAACCAGCCTGGCAGCTTCCGTTTCCCCCTCTTGAGTCGCTCACAGCTCTACGCCTGGGAGCTTGTTGCATGCTAAGAGCTTCCTGGAGAAGTCATTGCAAACTCTGGCTGAAGCCCCAGCTGAGCTCCCAGCCAAGAGCTGTCCTCATGCCCTCAAATGACCACCCCCAAAAAGCATCTGCCTGCAACCACATGGGAAAACCCAAGTCTGAGCCCAGGGAACCTACAAAACTCTCAGAAAGAACCAACTAGAGCTTTATGTTGTGGGATGGTTTGTAGATGGCAAGAGATAACCAGCAACACCCACAAAAAGCCAGGAGGGTGGCCCACAGTCTCCTCCCTGCTCCTCATCCCCTAGATTCAGGGAATCTCCATGTTGTGGGGGGTTGAGAAACATCTGTGGCTTAGTGAGACCTGGGTGAGGTCCAGGTGTAAAGCCTGCACCTCAGCCCTCCATTGTCCCCGTTCCTCGGAGCCCAGGATCAGGGTGGGTCCCTGGAAGGCTGCACCCTTCCTCACCATCATCTTCTCCATGTAATTCCTGCACCTCTCCTCCCTCCATTTGTCGTTGTAGCTCCTCCACTTGTATCTGTAACTAGTGGTTGTGTTGAGACCATCGCACAGAGAGTTGATCTCCGTGACGGAGGAGCCATTGGTTTGCCAGACCAAGCTAGTCACACAGAGGACAGTCGCAGCCACTGCTGTGGCAATACACGCAAGGATGAGCAGGCCTGACACACAGCCCTGGAAGGAGAATGTCAAGATGCAGATTCTATCCAGCAACGGCAGAGCCATGAAGTCCCCACCCTCCAACCTGTCTCTCCTACCCCAGCTCCTGTCACAGAAAACCCCGTCAACACCCCCAGGGGTATCCTCAGGATGTTGAGAACCAAAGGGTAGAAGACAGAAAACTGAGCAGGAAAACTAGACCCAGGAGGGAAGAGATGGAAAAGAGTAGGAGAGAAAGACGCGGCTGACCATGACTCACGGAGAGTTTGCCCGGGTACTTCTCATGGGCGATGGCCCCAGCTCCGGCTATGATGGCCTGGAAGAGAAGACACCAGGAGAAGGCCTCCAGCCTACTCCCCTGAACTGACCCACCCTCCTCCAATGGTTCCCAGACATCCAGAGCGAAGCAGGGTTCAAGAGACAAGTGAGGAAACCTGGCGCCTGAACGGAACTTCAATTCCACTCTCCCCGCCTTCCCCACCTTGCCTTGAAGACAAAAAGGGCAAGACGGCTTCCTGGACTCTGGTGGCTTCCGCAAGTCCCCCACCCAGAGCCAAAGGAACTTTCTCCGCCAACCCCTTGCCTCCCTCTGAGCTCCTGGCCACCTCCTTCCTCACCACACAGCCTGCCCAGAAGGCACAGCCAGAGGCCCGCAGCTCCGACCCGGTCCCAGGCCCAAAGTAGAGACACACTCCGAGAGTACAGCTCACAACCCCCAGCAATATCTGGGTCACCTGCAAGACAGGATAAAAAGTCGACTCTCCCCGTGGCCTGCACACCCCAGGGCAGCCTCCCCTCTCTGCCCAGGGGCTTCCTGCCTGTCCTCTGTCTACCTCTTCTCAGCAGCTCCGACTCCAGAAGGTTCTGTTCCCTCAGCTTTCAAGGAGCTGCACCCCTCCCTCTCGTAGGTTTGACCTGTTTTCCTTCCTGGCTTCTTCTGAATATAAACACTTCCTCATTCACCTGGTGAGTCCCCCTTTTTTCTCCCCCTTCTCCCTTGGGAGTCTCATTCTGTGGTCCAGATACTCTGTCTCACCTCAGCTTCTGGCCCCACGGGGCTCTGTGGTAGGCACAAAAGTGTGCGACCCCATCCGGAAAGGAGTGTGGTGGCTGAGAGCCTACCCAGCTCAGCTCCTTTGGGGTCCCCCTCCTCTTTCAAGCTGAGGGCACATTCTTTGGGGATGGCGTCCCAGCCAGGGATTGAGCAAGATAATGGTTCAAGGCCATCACGCCCAATGTGGAATCTTGTGATGTGCCGTCTTGGCTAGGGAGCTCCCCAACAGAGACCTCGTCAGCACTGCACTGCAGGCTGAGAGGCCCCTGCCCGACCCTTCTCATCTCTTTTCATTTCATAGGTGCTACCCCTCAATAAACCATGCAACCCTAACTCCAACTTCCCAGGAAACCCAACCATCACAGGCTCCTGGGTACCACCAGCTGCACGTCCTGGGAACATCTCAGCTCGGTCGCAGCTAAAATCCACTGTGCTCCTGCGCTCCAGGGTCCCTTGCTTGCCCTCCAGGACTCCTGTCTCCCAGTAGGCCACACTCCAGACCTCAGCATCTTGAACCCATGTCTTCCCTCATATCCCAAAGCCAGTGACTCCCAAGTCACAGAGACCCAAACACAAGGGTGGGGACGCCTTTATTTCCTCCCCACTTCTGCTACGACCAGTGAGAGCAGACGTTCCATACGTCTGACCTGGACACCTCCTGCTCAGAGGCAGCCAGGGCCCAGGTTCCTGCTTGGAGCCCACCCACAGCCCTCCTGCCTCCGAGGCCGACTCACCAGGCCTCCCTGTCATTCAAGGCCCTCAGCTGGCCACGAGGCTCTCAGCTGAAAGTCCGATTCTTTCTGCTCTTTATGATTGCATAGGCTTTCTGGCCTCTTAACCTTTGTTCCTGCCATTTCCTTCACCTGGAATTCCTTTGCTTCTGCTGCTGCCACCACCTTTTCTAAACCCAGTCCTTCTGCGATCAGGGTCTGGTGCAGCCTCCACTCCTGCCTGCCCAGGACACAAGGTGTGATTCTTGTTTCTCCCATCACCGGATCCACCTGATCATTTGTGTTATGAACTCTCTGCAGGATGTGGAGCACGTTTAGGTGACAGCCCAGGGGAAGGGCCCAGCAAATGGCCTTGTACCTGCAGCCCTCAGTCCCAATTGCACTAGCAGCTCCAGAGAGTCTTCTGCCTGCTGCCCCGCCCTAGGCTGGCACTGCCCGCTCTGCGCCATTTCTTTCCATCCCATCCTCAGTGGGGAACCCTCTAAGCCTTCTCCCAAACATGACGGAAAACGCACAGAGTTCATGTCCCTCCTGGTGGGACTCAGCACTTTCCTTTTCACTTCCTATTCTCCATCCTCTGGGTCACCTTGGTGTCCCACTAGCCCCCCACACTCACCCCCAGAGCCAGCTGAGCATTGTTTATCCTGGCCCCAGAAGGCCCAGTATCCCGAGGGCGTGAAATGAACTGCTTCAGGGAAGCCCCAGCTTTCAGCAGCTGTGTCAAGGCCGATTCCTGGTGGATGTGGATATCAATGTGGGTGGGCTGGGACAGCGTAGAGACCACATCAACTCCGTTCACGGTCACCTTGTTTTGGGTCATCATGCCTGGTAGGGAACAGCCAGACAAGAGTGAATGGAGTCTGAGAATCAGGTGAGGTGAAAAGCCATACCTGACCTGGTTGAGTCCAGAGGTCCTCCTGGACCAATACCAATGTCCCAACAACCTTACCCTGGGGTGCAAATCCAGAATTTCACCACATACCTTATTGGACCCAAAATGACCTGTGGGGTGTAGGATAGGACAAAGAAAAAATTCGGAATAATTTTAGTGACTCGGTATATATGTTTGCACACAACACTTTCACTAGTTAAAAAGTTCAAGAGATGTGGAGATGTGGCTCGGGGTACAGCACTTGCCTGGCATGTGCGAGGCCCTGGGTTCTATCTCCATTATACCTTTAAGACCTCTCTTCTGTCTTTTTCTCCCTGACGTCTAGTTGCCTCCCAAATGGAAAGTAACATGATCCATTTCCTACATATCTTCCAATGACATTTTTCACACCCAAAATGGTCTAAAAATAATCTTTCTCGCCCCTTTTCCTAGAAATGGCAGTATCCTGTACACACTGGTCAGCACAATGCTGCTTTCCTATTAGTATATGTTTGTAGAACAGTCCTACATGTATCCATGAAAAGCTTCTTTATTCATTTGCTTAGCTGCATAGCATCAGGTGTATGAATCCATCATGATTTATATAAATGTTCCCTGATTGACAGCTTTTAGGTCATTTCCAACGCTTTTCTATTACAGCCAATGTGGAAATGTGCATTACAATTTCAGAGGGTACGAACAGTCACTCTCCACAGAGGGAGCAGCAGCCGACAGGAGTGGAGCTGCCCTCCCCACGGCACAAGAGGGTGAAGCAAACTCTTCTATTTCAATATTAGATGGGAAATAACATTCCATTGCAGATGTTAGTAATTTTGCGCAATAAAATGCTCCATTTTAAATGTGATAAGCATTTAAAGCATTGAGATCATCAATGAATTTTGACAAATTTTTACCTTTGTGCAACCACTATTACGATCAAGATATAGATATCTATGTTGAAAAAAAAAATGATTCAATGATTCTCCCCAGTAAGCACCCCAACCACCAGCTGCAGGTAACTGCCAATGTGCCTTCTGGAGCTATTCCACTATATTTTAAATTTTCATTCAAATATATTCCAGTATCTATTATATTTTAATTTTCATTCTTATCATAAATGAGGTCCATCATCTTTTCATGTGTTAAGAGCCATTGTCATTTGTTTTGTGAGCTCTTCCTCTATATCCTATGTGCTTCCTATTTTATTTTGTTTTGGTCTTTATTGAATTTCTTTGTATATACAAAAAAGCTTACAATCTCTGCCACGAGTTGCAGTTATTTCTTTACAAGTTGCTATTTATATTTTGACTTTGCTTGTATTTTCATAGTTTTCATTTTTAAAACTCTAGTTTAAATTTATAAAAGCTCTTCCTCCTTTTTATGCTTCCTAGGTCATATCACATACTTTAAAAGGTCATCCCAGTTCCAGATGTTAAAATAATTCTCCCATGTTTTCTTCTAAGTGAGTTTAGACTTTTGGTTTTACTTTTTAATATTGATCCCTCTGGAATTTGTGTCCTAATTTGGAAGACGTGGATCTGAGTTTTTATAGTTGTTCCGATGCTTAACTTCTGAAGGATAGCGTCTGTTTGTGAAATATGTCATCTTTCAGCAACTCAAGATGCTCTCCTGAGCAAAAATAAAGTTCCCATAGGAAGGGAGGTCTACTCCAGTCTTCCTACTCTGCCCATTGGTGTGTCTGATGAGCTCTGCACCATTACTCCAATTTAATTAGTATAGAGCTTAATGTCTGATTATGCTGTTTTGTGATTCCCTATGCTATTTTTTCAAAATCATCATGCCCATTTTTGGGAAATTATTTCTCCATATATAATTTAAAATTGACTTCCCTAGCTCCAAGAGAAATCCTACATAGGTGACTCTAACAAGGCATGCAAGTGAAGTGTCACAGATTAAATCAAATAGTAATATCGACTCCGATACCACCTCCCACTGTATGCTGCCACTCTCGGAATATCTCACACCCCACCACCACCACCACCACCAGCAGCCTTCTTTGAGTAAAAGAACGGGTGTTTGATAGCTTGGAGGACGCAAAAAAGAGACCCAGGCTCACTCATGGGCACACAGAAGGAACACCAGCCCTGGATTTCAGATCTTCTGTTGGGGACCCAGAGTTGGCATCAGGTTGCAGTACTGAATGTGTCCTGTGCTCAGATACTTTACCCGAAGGCTCCCTGGGTACTCCTCCCACCCCACTCCAACCCTCTGAAGAGCAAGATCTGGACCCTCCAGCACGCGTAAGACTCCATCCCCACCTTCCACTGATTCCACGCAGGGGGCTCTGCCCTGCTGCCCTGGACACTTCCCAGTCCTTCCTCCCAGTGCTCAAGGGGTTGGGGACAGAGCACCCTGCTCCCTCCACCCACAGCCCTCAGGGCTCAGTCTTGAAGGAGCTCCATCCACCCAAGCCCAGGACAGAGACGGGAGGCGCTGGGGAAGGTGGGGCAGAGCAGGTGCTGGCCTCTCCTCCCCTCAGGCGGCTTCAGTCTTGAAGGGACCCTGGGCAGTGGAGGGCCCTGCCTCACCTGCTGTCCTCTGGGAGCTGGCAGAGCCGAGCAAGCTGGGAGGAGAAGACTTGGAGCTGAGGACCCTGCAGGGTGGTTGGGAGGGAGGGGAGCAGGAGGCAGGGGTAGAGGAAGAGGGCCTGAGGCAGCCTCGAAACTTCCCAGCAAGTGGCTGAAACCAAGGGGCCCATCTTGGGGGGGTTCCATCATACACACACACACACACACACACACACACACCCCTACTCAGACAGCATGCAGCAGAGGCACACACTTGCTCAGAAAGCCCTGGCCTGACAGGGGCTGGAAGAGGGGACACCTTCATAGGATCCCCCAGGGCATGTCAGTTGTGTGCCTACCCTTCATGGCTCCAGCTCCCCAGTGCCCAGTGACACCATAGTCTGGAAAGCCCCTGAGGACTCCCAGCCCCAGCTGTCTGCTGGGAAGTGCTAAAGTTTGGTCACTGCCCTCAGTCTCCATCCCTCTGGCTCCCCGCCAACTTCCTCCTTCAGCCAGGGCAGGATCCTGGGCGCCAACCAGCTCCTTCGCGGTCCTCACAGCTCTCCCTGCCACACACTTGCTCAGGGGCCCTGAGGAGAGCAGGTGAGGAGGCCCCAGCCCTGGCCCCCCAGCACCACCTCGCCCCCCACAGGCCTGGCTCCTTCAGAGCTGGCCGGGGAGGGAGGGACCACCCCACCGGGATGGCTCCAGCAGATGGGAAGGGAAGAGGCAAGGAGGGTTCTGGCCTTTGACCTCCACCCCACCACTAGTGGGGCAAGTGGCATGGTCAGTGCTGAGTGAGCTTCAGTGGAGGGGCTGAGGGGTCTCCAGGGCCCTCTGGGGAAGAGCCGCCAAAATGGAAGCTCAACAGAGGGCCAGAGCTTGGGGGCCTCGGGATTTGAACAGTCAGAGGGCTCTGGAGAGGAGAGGCCAGAGGAGAGCCCAGCTGGGGGCAGGTGGTGGACAGGTGAGGCCCACGGAGAGCTTGACCCTGACGCCAGGATCTGACCGTGAGTGGCAGGAACAGATATGAGGTGGAGGAGGAGCCCTGGCAGGGTCAGGCCGCCCTGAAGATAGCCTTCAAGAAGGGCCACATGTGTGGCTCTGTGACCAGGGCAGCCACCCAGTGACCCTGGGCACTCTGGCCCTGATCTCCGGAACTCCAGTGAACCTGCGAACATCTGCCAGCTGCTCTTCCTCGCTCTCCTGTCCTCCCTCACAGCCTGTTATCCAAGGACATGGGGACTGCAGACGATGGTGAGGTGGCTCCCGAGGCCCTGCAACCCACCCACATCAGTGTGCACGTCCACCAGGAGTCGGCTCTGGCCAAGCTCCTGTTGGCAGGATGCTCTCTGCTGCGGCTCCCAGCCCTCCCCGGAGGCACAGCCCCCCAGACCCTCAGCAACAGCCGGCTGCTGGTGGCCTCCTGGGTGAGTGTGGCTGCCCATCTCACGGGACCCTCCCTGGTGGGACATCCCTGTCCCTCACATTAGGCCAAGGCAAGGACCCTCTTCTTGTGGGTCACACACTCTCTGCCAGTCTCTCTCCAAATAGGTGCTGGGCCAGTTTTCTCTTCTTCTTAGAAATCAGTTTCTCCATCTTCTCATTACAAGCAGGGCATGGGGCAGGAGGCAGGGGAATGAGTTGAAAGAGTCCCCTCTCTGGGTTTTAACCACCAGTACCTGAAGTATGGGTCCACAAAGCCACCATAAGGCCTGGGGGCAGGGCTGCCTCTGTGCAGGCACCTAGGAGCTTGTCTTTAGGTCCTCTGTCTTACAGGTGGTGCAGCTGGTGCTAGGTGTCCTGAGTGGCATCCTGGGGGGATTCCTCTATATCTACAGGCCCACCAGATTCTGCTACTTGGGAGCTGCCATCTGGACCGGGGCTGTGGTAAGTGAGGCAGCAGGTGACCAACCTCCCAACAGAAGGATAGGACTTCCCAGGACCACCCCAAGATGGTGGAACAGAATGTTAGCCATCGAAAAGACCCTAACTATCTAGGTCAGTTTGTCATTGGTGCAGATAAGAAAATAACCAAAGGAAGTGGGACGATGTCTGAAGTCACAGGGTCATCTTTTTGGTCCCCTGCCCAGTGCCCTTCCCACCAGTATAGGTCCTCGTTTCCATTGTCCCAGTTATTAGCTAAGGCTCTAAGGACCTACTCACCTCCAGATGTCTGCCCTGAGATAGGGGAGGCAGATAGAGAGTCTGCAATCCCCAGAGGAAGCATAGCCTCCTAGTTCCCTGTTGTGCTCTGCACATCAGTGGGAATCCAGGCACAAAGGTCAAGAGATGTGTGTGTGCAATCTTCAATGGGAGCTCAGTGGGCTGCTCATGGTGGACCTGGGGACTCTCCAACAGACTTGCACTCTTGGGATAGTAAAACACACTTAGAGAGATAGAAAACAAAAGACATCATCCCAATCCATCCAGTGATAGAAACACTTGGATTAGTTACAGAATAGCCAAACAGGATTTGGATCCATCTGTCCTCAGGGCTACACCAGACTTTCTGATTCTTTGAGCCTAACCAAATGAACTGTAGAGCTGTTGGGACAGGCCCTGGAACCTGGGGCTAACCAAAGACATCCTGCCTTGAGAGCTTCTCCACAACCTGGACTTCCACCCCTAGGATTGCCCCAACCCTGGAACTCTCATGAGGCACCTGGTGTGGCTCAAAAAGGAGGGTTTTGGAGAAGGGAGGAAAGGCTCACACCTGGCTTGACCACGAGCACTTCTAGATGTCACTAGAACAGAGCATTCTGTAGCCTCAGGGCTTTGACCCAACTCAGCATCCTCAGTAGTTACATAACTACTGCTTAGCGCAAAACCTAGGAACATACATGGTGTGCCCATGGGGACACAGAGGCACTCACATTTCCTGTGCACGTCACTGCTGATTTAATCTCTCCCCAGGCCGTGCTGGCTGGAGTTGCTGGATTTCTTTACGAGAAACGGGGTGGAATTTGCTGGGTGAGTTCAGGTCAGGGCAGGGGAAGGAAGGAGGCTCAGGCCAGAGGCCAGTCCAAGCCTCCTACCCCATCATACTTGAATGTCACCAACCATGGCCCTTTTGTCCCCAGTGCAGGCTCTGGGAGAGACTGCATTGCTGAAGCCTGCCCCTGCCTCCTCCCCTCCCCAGGCCCTGCTGAGGACCCTTCTCATACTGGCATCTTTCTGCACCGCCATTGCAGCCATCGTAATTGGGGCTAGTTCCTTCCATGAATACCACTACTTTGCAGATGAAGATGACTGTAAAATCTACTCAGAAAATTGGCCCACTAAATCCCCCATCACCCCAAGTCCCAAAGAAGTCAGAAGGCTAAACCTGTGCATCTCCCAGGTGAACATGCTGAAGGTAGGTGGCCAATGTGAAGGAGTGGGCAGGGAGGGCCAGGAAGGGGCGAGAATAAGGCCGTCCACAGAAACAGGTGCCCCTGCTTTTCACCTGATGATTGTCACCAAGCACCACAGGAAGAGCTCCTGCGACCGTGAGTGCTGCAGACCATGGCACAGACAAGCCCTAAAATACCGACCATGAGAAAACCGGGGCCGCAGGACTTCAACGTGTTGCAAAGACGTTAAAGGAAACTGCTCCCTTGGTCCTCTCAAGTCTTGGAGGTTGTCAGGGAATCCAGTCCTAGACCCAAGTCCATCTCCGTAGAGATGAGGACACTGAAGCCCAGAGGGAAGGGATTCTAGCTGCATCCTACACACGGGATGCACTGACTCACCTCCAGAAGCCACAAAATTGGCAAAAAGCATGGAAAGGGAAGGAGAGCCACTGAATCTGGTGACCCTGGCTTTGGCCCTCTGTCCCCAGGCCCTGGTCATAAGCCTCCAGGCCATGCTCATGGGTGTCTGGGTTCTGTTGCTTCTGGCATCTCTGGCCCCGCTGTGCCTGTACTGCTGGAGAAGATTCCCCCCGAAGAAGGTGAGTCCCTAAATGTGTGTCTGTGTGTTGCGGGTAGTAGAGCTGTTCACAGCATCGTGCCTTTCTACCCCAACTCAGAAATCCTGTTTTCAATCAAGTGTCTCCAGCCCAAGAGCCCAGGAAGCCAGGGAAGTTCATAGCTATGTCAGCCCTTTGGTGCTTTTTGAATCAGGTACCTTTCGGCCAGTGTTAGATCTGGCTGACTCCAGAATCAAGCTGTCCTGGAAGAGAGAATCTGCCCTTTCTCTCCTGATTGGGGTTGTCTTGCTCTCTTTCTCCCTTAGAAAAGACAAGAGAGGAAACTACTGGGAGCAAATGGGATCTAGCCCTGAGCACTCATTCCTTCAGAAGGAGAAGGTGCTCCTTCTGCTCTACCTGTCCCCGTATCTGACTCTTGGAAGAACCAGCAAACTGGAGGGAAGAGACTCCAATAACCTCACAACCATGGGGTCATGCTCGTCCCACGACCATGGCCGTGTCCTGCTCCACCGACCTTCAAACAGCTCTCCACTCTCCACTGCTCACTTTGTCATCCTGCACCCCTCCCTGTCCCCTCCTTTGCAGTAATTTGAAAATAAATTGCTCCTGGATTCCTACTTTGCTGTTCCAGGGAAGTTCTCTTGGCTGGGAGGGCAGCGGAGCATGAGCCAATCACAAACCCAAGACGCTCCTCCCACAGATCCAACCTTGTACCCGGGTCTAGAGTTGCTGGTCCTGAACCTAGACCCCCTTTGAGTCTGGTTCTGCAGCTGCGGATCCTAATGCCTGGGTATGAAGGATGCAGGGTGCGGAGACTCCGAGTCCTGCTCCCTGTCATTCAGATTTAAAAAGGTAAATGCTCGGCCATTTGATGATTGGATTTTTATTTTGACCATTTGACAATATTAAGAAGTAGACACATAACACCAAGATAAAATTATTTTAGAAATCATCTTTTTCAAGATAGGATGTCCAACAGTATGATGAAAAAAAAAAACCCAGAATAATTGTCCCATGGAAGGGAAAAAACTAAAATGCAGGATATGAATCATTTGTTTTTAAATCTATGGGTAAACTACCAGAAAAATGAGGGAAACTCTCAAATGTCATAAAAGAAGTAGGGGCACATTCGGAGAGATGAGTCTTGAAACCAGCATCTGCCTGTGTCAGGTTCCACATGCCCAGGGCTCCAACTGAAGGACCCACCAAGTTCAGCAGCCT